TGATATGGAATAGTAAGTATTATTTTGAGTTTACATATAACGATCTGCTTGATTTTTCGCGAAATCAATCTCCGTCACGAAAATTACTAAATCAGCAACCAAGAATCCTATACTTATAAAATTTACGTGCATATTAAACGTAACTGTTGCCGATGTGTATGCAAAAAATTGACATGGAATATTAAGTACGATTTTGAGTTTATATATAACAATCTGCTTGATTTTTCGCGAAATCAATCCTCATCGCTAGAATCCCTAAATCAGTGACCAAGAATCCTATGCTTATAAAATTTATATGCATGTTAAGCATAACTGTTGTCAATGTGTGCAAAAAATTGACATGGAATATTAAGTAATTGAGGCCTTTAAATGTGAGACATCTCGAATCTGAAACATTTGAAGATATTCAAATTAACAAATCAACTGGGCTTGTATTCGCTCTATTTAATTTTTATTATTATTATCGCTATATTACATATTAAATAATCAATTCTTCGTATTCATGCTATAGTAAGTAAGGTAATCACTTTGAGGCGTGCTGGGAGTCTCCAAATGATCAATATTCATTGCATTAAGGTCTGTATCTCTTTGGCTGAAGAACAACTCTCTTTTCATTTGCCAGAGATGCCGCAGTTCCCTAGCAACCTTATTGATATATGCTTGAAGGCGTAGCCAGCAGTTTACAAATTTCTCCAATTCCTCTGGATTTTCAAGAAGTTTTAAGGGTATTGTAAAACTCTCTAGCACACGTACCCGATAATATACACAATAAGGCATATCTAACACCGCGATCTTAATCTCAAGGCAATGAACTTGTATCATCAAGATAGGCACAGCACCCACTTGTTCCAGAAATGCTTTACCACCCTCAAGCATACCCAGTTGAGCTGCTTGATCCTTTGTTATGGTATTAAACATTTGAACATGTGCATCCTTACACATGCATACCAACTTGACCCAATCCAAAAGAAACTTTGAAACATCGGCTTTAGGCCGTGAACTCTCTAGAAATAATATTTCCAGACTTTCTTTATCAGGCAGGGACACTTTGATACACATGTCAGGTTTATGACCTCTCGTTGATGCCTCACTAACCTCCTCAGCCCTGTAAATACATCGTATAATACAACTTAGAAATGATTATGCAAATATTCTTAACATGAACGAGATAATATTAATCATATTTACCATCTCACGTCCAAAGGTATCTCTCCATAACTAAAACCTTTGAACAATTCTGTTACAATGCGAGCGACGTAAGTCCCTTCATTGTAACTGTTGACACCATCTGGGGATTGCACAGCCCAGATATGACGCCTATAAATGAACCAATAGATAAATACAAAAGCTATTACTATCTATAAAAACATCAAAATAAGACTTCCATAAATTGACTTACAGGTTTTCCAACAATGTGTGTGCTGCGTGAACCTGCAGCTTATCTTTAGCCCCCCTTACCCATGGCATGTTGACAGGTTGGATCAAAGCAACTTTACCACAAATATCTCGAGTCTGGTAATTACCAATCAAATCCTGACACATTATAGGTATAGCACCATGAACATCAGGAGATATGTATGCTTCAGGTAGACAGCTAAGACAAAGTACCACATTGTCTCTGGCAGTCATTTCTGTCCAAAGACTGTCCGCTCCGCTCGTATCAAGAACACCGCATGCAATAGGTCGTAGGGGATTAACTGCTTCCCCGTTTGTATGCATCTCATCAAGCATTTTATCAAAGATGACAAGTGCTTGACGTTCCATATCGTTTCCAATATTTGGAATAATCTTGTCCTATGTTTTATTAATAATTATATATTAATATTAATATTTATTATATTAATATAATTGACAATAAATCATTATTATCACTTACCAGATTATTCCTTATTGCGATTATATTTTTATTTATTGTATTGGTATTTGTTTGATACAGAGGATCGGCCATAATCTACAATAAATTAATAAATATCAATATTGATTCTTAAATGATAACGATATCAATTTATTGATACTCACATCGTCATAAGCCTTTTGAGCCCTTGCCATAGCAGTACTCTAAAAAAAAAAAAATTTGTGAAAAAAAGAACTTCTGATATAGAAATCGGTTAAAGGATGGTGATCTCAGAGGCTATATAAGATGTTGGTTTCATATTTCAAAAGATAATATCTCTCTTTTTCTCGCCTATAAACGTAACTTAACCCGTGAGTACCATCACGAATAATAACCGAGCATGGCAAGGATCCGAGCCAATTTTTATCACCATTCCTAGTTCATCATTTCAATGCAAGGTTTAATAAAATAAAACAAAACTTACAGCAGTCAGGTTCGAGGCTTTCTGCCTTGCATCGGTAAGTATTTTGTGATTACCCTGCTTCTTGTCAATAGCTGCTGTTAGTTGCTCCAGATAACTTTTTTTTGCAGCTGTTGCGGTCAAGTCTGCAGCACCATTCAACTTATGCCACAATATCCATGCTTCAAAGCTAACGACATTCTCGTTGGCACCAGCATTGTTGAAGTAGTTTGCAGACATTTTTATTATATAGAATTGATATCAAGTTACTAAGATTGTTAACTGTTGGAAGAAGGAAGAGACACGATCCTTTATATAACACTCTTAACATCCTTTTTCCTTAGCATTCCTGTATACCCGACTTCGGCCATTATGTGTCAGCTGACTTTTTCACTGTCGTACATATTAATACAATGGATTAGTGTTAGTATCACCAGTACCTACGAATATCCGTCCTTCCATGATTCGGTTAATATTAATAAGCATTGACAAAAAGCAAAGACTCGTTTCTAGGAAAAAAATTTTTTCTGGGATCGAAAAATGTGGAATGTTTGTATATTAATATGTGACAATCATTGTTTATTTATAGTTCCGGGTACTAGTACTAGTACTGTGGAATGCGAACCCAACATACTGGATAAAGTTAACTAAAACATGATCGTCGTAACTTATGGTAAAGAATGTTAAGCATCACCCCCTAAAACCATGTGCTTTAATTCATCTCGGGATGGAAGAAAGCTTTTTTGTCATTATACTATTACTATGTGATTTTGTTAACATTATGTCTTTTAGTAACATGATAATAGTGGAGAATGTCCCACAAAGAAGTTCTTGCATTGACCGTAGTAGTATATTAAAGTCCTTTGTTATTAAATTTAAATTGGATCCACTCTTGTGCGACTCGAAATATTACTACTATTATCATATACTAATATGCTACTATATTAGGTATTGGATCATCTATTTTAGTGTTGCAGAAATTCTCTCCGCATATTAATATAAAGTTTAAAATAGAAATGTTGCCACTGTTGTGGTGCATTTAGTTGCCAAGCTAAAAATAGAACTTACAATGGAGACTAAATTATACAATTAATAGCAGTAACTTTTCTCGGCAAATATTTCAGTTCCAAGACAAAGGGGAATTTTTGTTCGGTGTGACAGGTGATCCATTGTTATTGTGGCCATTTTAATATTAATATCTGATATTCCAACAAAATTTCGGTTAAATTTCAAATAACTGAGGACCTTATGCTTATTGATAATAAAAATTTAAGTAATGTGTTTAATAATAATAATAATAATAATAATAATAATAATAATAATAATAATAATAAAGAATACTTAATATTAATATTAATATTAATATTAATGGCCGTGTGCAATGACGGCATTCTTAGAAATTGAATACATGCGTTTTTTGATTTGCATTTGTTGTAAAGTATTAATTCCTCTCCCTCTCACGTTTTTGGTACTGCAATAGTAAGGTGTAAACAAACGCAAGCAGCAAAATCTTGTGATTTAGTCTATTACTACAATTTTCTGCACTTCCGTCTTTAAAAACAAAAAAATAAAAGTAACAATACTTGAAATTCAGTATCAACTTTTTTAGATACAAAATTTTAAAATGAGTGATTTGAGTTTGTTTCTGACCTTGTATTTGAAGATGACATTTACCAAGACGTATTTGCAGATGCCCAATTCACTTCGAATAATGCTGATTATGATGCAGACTGGAGTGAATCCTCTCCAATGATTACCAAATGGACATAGAAGTTGAAGCAGCTTCTACATAAAATAAAAATTTGGCTCGATGTTTAATTATACATATAGTTGGAGGCGAAGTGAAATGTTGTAATATTGAAACTGATAATCGACCTGTAAATGCATTGATATCGAGAGAACGAAATTCATTGAATTGGAGTATGTTTCACTCATTATCTCTTTGATCAGAACCAAGTGCATACAATAGACACATGTGTGAAGAATTACAATTTATCGATCAGATATAATGGAATTAATATAATAAGACCTGTTGAGATTCTGGTCACTGATGGCAGAGAGTTGGGCTGGATTTCACTATGGACCAGAACAAATCCAACCAAAGATAGAGAACTGACATCGATAACTTTTATGATCACTTCTAAATAACAACGATATCAGTTGGCAATTATTTTATCAGTCTACACAGCTGAAAAAGTGATGTAATATATTAATGAAAAATTACTACAGCAATTGACATGCTAAACGAATGTGTGGAGAACAATAAAGTATTGTGCAATAAAGTGTAATAAGAATAATAATAAAGTTAGAAGCAATTTCTATGCTGCTGTTGTTATTGACACTTCATATCCACATGATTTAGATAAAATTTCAGTCATAAATCAAATTGAAAAACTCGCTGAATCATATTTTTAATTTCAGCCATGAAAATTCGCCAAATCATATTTTTAATTTCGGCCATGAAAAATTCACCGAATCATATTTCTAATTTCGGCCATGTGTACAGATTGGTCTATTTTTATCCTTGCCAAATTTGGCTCTAAAATATTAATATAATGCACATTTGTGAGTAGAGTTGTACAGATTATAATTATAAGTGATATACTTCGGCCATGCAATAATTGCGTCTTTTATAAATACTTGAGGTTTAAGCTTCAAACGTCTCATTCAAACCAAAATCACATACTCTGTTATATTTTTAAAACCTTGATTAAAATCTCATTACTGCTGATAATATAAACCAAATTTTTACAATGGCAAATCCAATTGAATATTTAGAAATTGACAATTGTATGTCAGATGATGATCATAATGCTTACGAATTCGATCCAAGTTTTGCCATCCCTAATTTTGAAGACAATGATAGTGAGAGTGACAAGGAATATGAAGATAGGGAAGAAGTTGGAGATAATAATGCGGATCAGGATGGCAATGAAGAATATACAATTGATCTGCCGGAGGCACAAGAATCGGCTCAATTATTATCACCATGGGTAATCATGTCTAATGATAATGGGATAATGCGGCACTGTGGAAAATTTCATCCAAAGAGCCAGAGAAAGATTTCGAATCTTATAGGCATCTGGGAAATTGACAAACAGGCAATTGAACACATGAAAACAAATAATCAATTGGAGCAGACGGGAATATGTAATTCCCACTTTTCATTTGATCATCAAACTTTACACGATATTGGACTCAAACAAACAAAAGAGTACATCAAAGGCAAGATTGCTGGCCATCGTTGCATTTTCTGTAAAAAAAACTATTGTATTTACCTTCGCGGAAATGAATGTACTGCACATTGCTGGTCAGTATTGGATAAAAAGACACTAATTCCCTGCAACAGTCAATACAAATGTCTAGCCATTGAGAGTTTTTCACCCCTTGTACAAAAAATTATGAAACCAAACTCTCAACGACCGCAGTATATTTGTAATACATGTTACGAACACCAGGGTGGACACTTACACCAACAATTAGGAAGAGGTCATGCGGTAAAGGACAATACTTGTGTTGCAAAAGGGGAACACTTCAACGATAAAACTGAATCACTTGAAATTCTCGGAAAATGGTTGTGCAATGTAGTAGCCAGGACAGACAATGACACATTTAAGGATAAAGTGTTGACAGAAGCAGCATCACTATTACGAGTTTTTCAAAAATCTGAACCTAACACAGCCACTGAGCCTGCAACTGAAACCACTACTGAGCCTGCAACTAAAACCACTACTGAGCCTACAACTTTATGCCCACTCGTGATTAGGACAATATTAAAAACAAACAATATGCTCCCAGAGAGTGCCCCAATAACAATAACAACTGAAAACTCTCGTGAATTGGGAGAAAATATAGCCAAACACATATTGGATTCATGTGACCAAGTACAACAAAACAAACACATTTTAGAAACGCTGAATTCATTAGATGATTATAAAAATGCATTTCCTCAAATTCTGATAAATTTATTTTATGGAATTATTTCTACACTGTATGGGGAACGGCGAGCCAATAATCGAAAAAGTAAACCAAAATCCAGTAATGAGGACAAAATTACGATGATAACTGTGTTTTTGTCTTCAATCATTTTATCAACAGCATTCAAAAATATGAAAGTCTGGATTACACGCACTTTGGCATCGGTTTGCCAAAAACCAAAATTATTACCATCATTACGGACATTTCTTGGAGCAGTGAATGCTATATCATATACCAGTATTCACGAATGTCGGTTGCAAAGATATCGTATGCAAACTGCAGATCCCGTTGCACGACTTCAAACTGGTCCGGACACCTGGAATGTATGTGTAATCGACAATATTGACTTGGAAGAAACGACATATAAATATGGTAATATTTATGATGCAGCTCGCAAAACGTTTCATGCGACGCTGCGTATGGTCTTTCAATTCAGACTTCCACAACCACTAAACTCAATCCCTGATGACAAAATCCAACTTACTGCGAAGCATAGTTTATTTACTGGAAATACCCTACGTACAAGTAAAGGCTGGTTTCGACGGGTAAATGACGTTTTTAAAAGCCTGGTCATATCATCAGATAATATTGATTTGCATATTATCCATGAGAAGCTCATAGAAACCATTCAAATTGGCTGCAATGTGGAAAAACCCAATGTCATAATTCTCGAGGCTGGCGATAAACCATCGTCTAATGAAAATATCCTTAATACCTGTACAGCATATTTTGAGGACTTGGGAATAGCTGAAGATGATACATTAGATATATGGGCAGATCAGGCAATCCACCAGCGACTCTTGAAAGTCCAAGACAAGCACAGCAAATTACGAGTCGGATTAGGACAATGGCACACTTCCAAAGCCATGTGCAATGCACTTGTCCTTATTTTTTCCAGCTATGGATTATATAATTTTGCATCAGAGCTTGGTGCAACATTTCTGGAAAAACTCGAAAAAAACACTGATTATCGGTCGACTTGTAATGTCTTGGAAATGATTTGGGCATCGACGGGGATTGCCATCCACAAGTATCTCATACAAGAAAAATTAACATTGGAAGACCTTATTGATGGAGACAATAATTTGGTTAAAGTTTGGCTGTTGTATTTTGAATGGGCTAGTTTCTGGAAAGGGCACAAGATAGGAATTCGAAGAGCAAATTATGATATGCAATTCTCAAACTTGGCTGCATTTGCCCCCCTCTTTCCAGTTGTGGGAAGAAGAAATTATGCCAAAGCTGTAGTTCACTTTCTTGCTGAGCTTAAGTCCTCACCTCAACTCCAGAAACTTTTACAAACTGTCTGTTCTGTAAATCTCACTAAAGAAGGACATTATTTCACCTTTGATGAGGCACTTGAATTTTTTGGAGTTAAATATGTTAAACAAAATATAAAAAAGGTTATTAGTGATGAGGACCTTAAGCTTCAGATAAAGGCAGTACAGTCTGAGAGAGCAATTACAGACATTTTGTTCTCAATGTTTAATGGTGATCACACTAATGCAGGCAGAAGTCACGCTAAAAATAGTCGATCTGAAGCTATTAATCGACTTGCGGAAAAAATTCTGGAAGCATTTATTTCTCAATCACCAGCAGAGCATTGGCTATTTAGAGGATGTAGTCAACTTTCTGAAACTGGATATGATCGTATATTCAAGTGCTATCGAAGTGGAGTGCAGCGTCTAACAAAATATTATAAGCAAGCAATTATTCGCACAGTACCAGATGATCCAACAGGAAGAGCAGCTACCGGGGTAACTATAACAAAAGTTACAAATTTAGCTTGGAACTCGGAAGCATCCCAAAAAAGATGGGAGGAGGCTCAAACTATACGGGCTTCTTCTACTGTCCAAATACCTATTGAATCATTTATGGATATGGACATCGAAATGCGATCAAGAATAAGAACTCCTCTGCCTTTATCCCTGCCTGATCCAAGTACCCCTCGTAGTGATGCTGGTAAACGAAAAGCCAAGGATGATCCACCTTATACTTGATGCACACATGTATATATATGCATTATTTAGTAGATAGATATAATATATAATATAACAATGTTCGTTTATTATTGTATATAACTCACGTCTTGTAAATAATAGACAGCCATATTTATAATGTATATAATTCACATATCGTTTATTCATGTAATGTACAAAATATTAATATTATTAAAGTAAACGATCACAAAACTCCAAATCAAGACTTATTATTATCATTATTATTAAATGCATATAGAAAGTAAACAATCACACAAGCCAAAAATCAAAAAAAAAAAGAATGACTGTTTACATATCGATAAATAGACAACTAGTAAAATTATAGTTGAGTATGTTACCGATATACTATCCTATCATCATTTGTTATTTGTAAGACTTTACTATTACCGTACTTTCTCGAATTTATCTGTACAGTTAACTCTCTTTATAACGACCTTCTTTATACGGACTGGTGCCTTATAATGACCAGATAATGCTTTGCCACTTTCAACATTATTAAAATCAGCTGTTTATAGTATTTCTTTATATAATAATAAGGTTTGACTGGTCAATTAATAAATAAATTACCGCGTATATATTTGTAAACCTCTTTTTATAATGATCAGCAGTACAATCGATAAATATAAATAATTTCTACAGGTAAACTGGTGCTGATTAAACTGGTCTCGGGTTCAATCAGCTGTCTCACGACTACACCGAATTTCCATTAATTAGCTAAACTTTTATCTGAACTGGTCTCTGGTTAAACCGGCTGAAGAACAGCAAACCCATCTGGCCAGTTTAGAGAGGTTTCACTATATATGTTAATGTAAATTTATTATTATCTGCATTATTCTCTATCATCCTGATATAAGCTAGCTGTATCCTATTTATCAGATATGTCAAAAAGGATCATACTCATCCAACGATTCTTCAATTAGCTATGAATATGAACGAGTCAGTCTAGGGTTTGTTACTGTATTATAATTTCTGGATATTTCCTTTGTCAAATTATAAGGAATTTACCTGCCAGGTCCACAACCTGACACGTCATACAGTCCATAATATTTCTATTTATGGAGGAAAAGCCATCTGAGTGTCCAATGAAGGGATAATAATAATGTTTGAGCTGAGCCTGTATGACATGACAGGTTGTGCGACATGGCAGGTAAATTCCTGATTATTTTATGACAACAGGTATAATAATATTAATAATGAGCTTTTCGTCCTGCGTTCTCTCTCACCCTCCCCATCCAATATCGAGAAGTTGGGTCCCTCTTCATATTCTCTAATGACCTTTCACATCCTCCAAACGCAATCATAGACTATCTTCCACACCAACATCAACGTCATACGTCCCTCCATTGGTAAGCGAACGCTCATGAGGCGTTGTCGAGTATGAAAATAACACTGACTTATACTCAAGTATCGAAGAACAAATCGGGGTCATGCTCACTAACTAAAAGAAAAAAAAGATGAGCATCCTGGCTACAAACGAAGCCCCAAGAAGGACAGATTAGAGGTATTAATGCCATTGGAGTCTTAGATCAAATCCACCTAACCCGCTTATCTCTCATTACACAACTATGCTCACCACAACTCTTCTCTCGCTCCGTCGTCTCAGATCAGTCTCCACCGTATTTCCAGCGCAATGATACAGCATCAGCAGCACCAATTCCCAAGCCTGCTTTCCCGCCTAGTCTAAGTGCCAAAGCATTCTTTGAAGAGACGTTCAAGACGGCCCGAGGATATTGTTGGTAGACCCGACGATAGCATGTGGACGAATAAAGAGAAGATCGAGAATTATGAAGTGAGTGAGAATGAGATAGAACGGGATGAAATTGTATGCCGAAGCAGAGTCAATAATTGGAAAGAAAAACCATGAGGTATTGCTGCAGGTATTGTGGTGGTTAGTGTATCCGATTCACATCTGTTGGTAGAATAGATAAAATTAGTACAAGACTTATTACAATGATGTAACAAACTATTCTTTTTTTTTTTAACTGTTCCCGTCAATGATATTAATCGCTTTTTTTAATCTTTTCCAATTTCGCAGACAACCAGACATGCAAGTGACATATTGCATCATGTCGTGAAGAAGTAATTCACCCCTCTGATCCAGTTCTGATTATGAACAAAGTTCCAGTCTGTCGCCTTTCCAAGCGTAAGAATGTCTTCGGCGAATATCTTATTCCCAAGATAAAGAGGCACTGTAACGAGCGTGATGTCATTGCTATCGAAAACTTATCACTTCGGGATCGACATATTAATGTCATCTAATGTGAAGCGGGTACTTGAACAGATCAAGGGCCTCCCTTCGTGCCATAAGGCCCATGGGGGAGTGTCGAAGAAGAACGGTGGAGCTTGTATGTACATGCATCTGACGAATCGGATGAGTAGGGTCATAATTGTATGCTAAATATAAGCTTTGGATTTGTAGATAATTTGGACATTGAATATAATGCATCTGAATGAAGATGACGTCAAAACATTTACCATGCACGGTTAATGTTTTGTCTGAATAAAGAAGACATTATTATAGAATTTGTTATCAATGCTTGCTCCAAACGGGTTTCTGAAAAAACCCTGCCTGAAAAAATGCTTATAATAAACTATCCTCTTATACGCGAACAAAAACATACTGTAAGTCGAAGGTGCTTGTCATCTTTGAACCTAACGTAACTCAAATCCCACATGCTCAGATTCATCGTGGTGAGAACAACATTAAATATATGCGACAGATTGTCCCTTACTGTCAGTGACATAATAACATTATTATAAATATTCAAATCGTACTTAATATTATGTGTCAATTTTTGGTACACACCTCAACAACAGTTATGGTTAACAAACATATAAGTTATATGAGCATTGGATTCTTGGTTGTTGCGCTATTCCGGATTATGACGAAAATCGATTTCATGTATCAAGCGAATCGGAATATCGAAATTTAAATCATACTTAATATTCTGTGTCAATTTTTAGTCTATACCTCGACAACAGCTATTATTAACATGCATATAAGTTTTATAAGCATTGGATTCTTGGTTGCCGATTTAGTGATTTTCGTGACGGAGATTGATTTCGCGAAAAATCAAGCAGATTGTTATATGTAAACTCAAAATCGTACTTATAGCAGTTTTCAAAATTATAGAAACCCCTGAAATTTTATACACACAAAGTCTCTTGACTGTGCGAAAATTTACAAATACCAACTTAAGCCTTTACAAACTACGCGATTATTCACCTGCACTCGACTTCTTACCCTTTCCGTGGCACTTTTGCTTACTCCCTTGGTAAGTCCTCGTGGCTCTAGCGCCAGTATTTACAGAAAAGGTTTCTAATTACTGCACGATTACTGGCGATTACTCGCGATTACTGGCGATTACTGGCGATTACTGGCGATTACTCGCGATTACTGTGCGATTACTGCTTTCAGTTACCTGTTACATATTGAACTCAGAGACATAACATGGTCAGGAATATTAGCGAAGACTTACGCTGGAGAATAGTCTATCTCCATTGCGACGGTTTGTCTCATAGACGGATTTGCCGTTATTTATATGTCAGCCGAGCCACTGTATCCAGAGTTCTGAGGCTATTCAAACGTTGGGGGAGTGTCAGAAATCCCTTTGACGGAATGCGTGGACGTAAAAGAATTCTCGATCATGGGGGTAAGTCAAAAAGTCATCTGCATTTGTACTGTCTTAAAATTAACGTTTTTCTAGGTTTTATCGTCGTTGGTTGTTGAGAAAGTTGATTGGTATCTTGATGAATTATTGTCTGAGATGGAAATAAGAACCGGGAAGAAAGTCTCTATACCGACTTTGTGGCGATCTTTAAAGTTTTGTGGCATTACTCGAAAAAAGGTGACATATGATAACAGGCAAACAGATGGAAAATTCTCACTAAAAAGATTTCTTTCTAGTTACATAAGGCGGCAGTGGAAAGGAATGAGTTACTTCGCAGTTCTTTCATCGGTAAAATTGGAGAGTCATATTCACCTGAACAACTGATATTTCTTGATGAGAGTGCGAAAGATGAACAGTCATTTATGCATTCGCGAATGCACGTGCTCAAAAAAAGGTAGTATTCGTTCGTGGAAAGCGATATACAATATTACCAGCACTAACGACGGAAGGCATTGTTGCTGTTGAGATTATGGAAGGGAGCTGTGATAAAGAAAAGTTCAACGAGTTCATCCTGTCATGGGTGGTAGGTTCATTATGTACTTACAACATGAACGCTCCTTAGTCTTAACTCTCTTTTCACTTAGATTCCATGCATGAACCAATATCCTGGCCCTAATAGTGTGCTTGTCCTGGATAATGCAAAAATTCATCATGGAGGAGAGTGGGTCTCTATCGTTGAAGGACTAGGTGGACGAGTGCTCTATCTCCCTCCATATTCGCCAGACTTCAATCCCATTGAAACATCTTTTGCTGTAATCAAGAGTTGGCTTAAGAGGCATCGTGATTTTGTCACATCATGCAATGACCCTACTTATCCTATTCTGATTGCATGCGGTCAGATTACACCTGACATGGCCAAATCTTTTTTCAAAGCATCCATATACTTTTGATCTTATTTTACAATAAAGAGATGGTTTTCCAAACAAAACTTGCCAAAAGTCGATTGAATTTTATTATAAATCAACGTCTTTACTAAAATGTGTCATATTGCACAACATACTCTCATGCAAGCACTTACACAAGACTACTTAGACTTGTATCATACTAAAGACATAAATGTAATGGGTCAGCAGGTGGAAGAATACAAATGAATATAATTAACAACACTTTCAACTTACTGATAAAATTTCCGATCTAACTATATTGCGCTGAAGCCTGTTTGAGAGTAATCCTCCACCCGATTTTGTTTACACCTAACTCCTGAAAGTCTCTATCGCTCAGATCCTTAATATTCATAACGCTAAGATGCTCTTCTGCAAATGCTTTTTCAAATTGTGACTAGGTTCCTTCTCCATGTACATTATCCAAATCATGTAAGAATTGAGTAAGAGTTGGAATATGAATTTTTGGAGAATTTGAGCCTGGTGTCGATTGTGGAGAGAAGTATCCTCAGAAGGAAGTCATATATGCCGGATAGGTTGGGAAAGGATATGGACATGTATTAGATGGAGTTGATGAATTATTCTTAACATGAGTTGTGCTAAAGATTGGATAAGAGGGGGGACAGTCGAGGTCTGTAGAGCCACGTTTCTATAAACATGATTTATGTTAGCATGTACTCAATAGTAGTCAATGAGATATTATTAAAATATCATACAAATCATGAGCCCACAGAGACAAATGATGTGGCGATAAGCGGAGATGAGAGCAAGTATTTATATTGATATAACATGGTTGATTGTGTTCAATGCAGTGATACTTTTCCCGCAGTTGTTTGATGATCTTAGCCTTTTCAATCTCCAGGCTATCAAGAGCATGATGTTTGGGGATTGTTTTTTTCTTGCGCTTTCTGGTAATACTTCCTTCAATTTCTGAAGTACTGAGATTCTCTGAGTCGGAGTCCAGGGTTACATTTTTTATATTCGCCTGTGATTTGTTTCGCTTCTTTTTATTCTTCTTTTCTGACGTATTAATATGAATGATAATCATTACCATATCCTTCTTTAATGACAATGTGGCCTTGTTTTTATAATCATCAACAAACTTCTGGAAATCAGAAATCTGCGTTGCCATTGCATTTGTTGCCATTTTGTACGATATAGTATAATTATGTCTTTGAATTGTTTCATCGTCCAATAAAATATGCACTTGATGAGTGATCTTTGACATGAAATCATCAAATGCGACCATTGAGAATGTCACCCATTTTGCTGGTATAGTCTTCCCATCTTCACACTTAATACTAAGTTTTGCTTGGAACTCTAAGGCGTCAGACACAGAATCAATATCTGATACAAATTGAGGCGGACTTATGGGTGGCGTAGTTGATGATGCACCGTTATTTTCGTGAGAGTTTGAGAATGGTACTTTTGCAATACGTACAAATTGGCTGTGGCACTTGGAACAAAAGGAAGCATTGAACTTCTCCCTGAAGTTAGAATTATAACCGAACAACTTACTCTTCTCCTTCAAGAATTGGATTTGTGCATGGTTTTGCTTTGTAGTAATAATACGGCCATAATTTG